CCACCAAACATTTGCTTCCCCATCAAGGTGATAGGCAGCAATTTGAACTCGTTCGTATCTTCGCACATCATTGATTTCAAAGAATTGCACAGCCCGACTCAACCATGCATCTGGATCTGTTCCCGTGAACGTGGGCATAATAATTTTTGGCCGTGTGCCCGCCCTGTCGTCCCGTGGATCGTCGCGACCGTGATACCGGGCACGTCCCTCGTCCAGTCGTTCATGGCATCGTCGGCCCTCATTGTAGCGCTCTCGGTCATCGCGTCGTGCCCGACGCTCATCGTGTGAGGCCCGCGATGCGTACGATGCGTACGACTGTCGGTCGTCATCTTCTTCGCGCCTACGGTCGTGATGTGCGCGTCCATCGTGTCGTCGTCGGCCGTCGCGGTGGTGATCTGCGTGTGATGCGTGTGAGCCCCGCGATCGGCGATCGTCCTCGCGCTCGGTCCCGGTGCTTACTGCCGTGGACCGCGACCCGTGTCGTCTGCTTGGCCGCATGTTCATGCGCGTTAGTTGCCCGGCCAAGTCCTGGACCATTAGTTCGATCCTTCCCAAGTTCTCGTTGGTAGCATGTTGACCATCGCCGATGATCTTCATGTTGTTCTCCAAGGCTTGAATCCTCTCACGGTTCGACATCATAAAATATATATTTTTTTTTTTGACTCTAAAAAAATCGAAAATAATAGGGAAAAATTCGAAAAATTCGAACCCCCAACAAGACTCAAAAAATCGAAACAAAAAAGAAATTCGGCCCCTCAACAAAAGGTAATAGCCGAACAAAAAATCAAATAAAGGACTAACAAGATGACACTTTTTTTTTTTAATGAAAAATTCGAAATAAATTCGAAAATTTCGACCCAAAAGAAGAGAAATTCGGCCCCTTCAGCAAAAGACAAATCGAAAAAAATAAAAAGATAAGATAGACAAAAATCGATCAGCACCTCTCAACGAAAGCACCAATGATGACGGATCGATCTTTTGTCTATACGTTGGTTGCGAATAAACGGCGCACTGCGGCCTTCGTTTATCCCCGATAGGTGTATCTAACAGACGCACTACGGCCTTCTCCTAGATACCGTGACTTCAAGACGCACTAATGGCCTTCTCTCCGACACTGTATGTAAACACGCACTAATGGCTTTGTTTATCACACGTTAAGAACATCAGTTCCCCCTCAAGATTGGCTCACCAATTCAATACTTCATTCAACATCCAATATGATGAGGTACATGGGG